TAGTGGAATTGGTCCTTTGACTTGAGGTCATCATAGTACCTTATATGAGGGCAGTCATACTTTGGTGATGTTGGATGTTGCTCTGTCAAGGGTCGCTAATACAGCATCGTTCGGGTATGTCAAGAATCATATGAAGGTTGTGAATGATCAATAGAGGATTCGTCACTCTTAGATAGTAAGAGATTATGATCTACATTTTATCCAGTTAAGTTGATAATGAAATCCTTGGCCAAGGTGAACTCATAAGTCGGAAAAGAGTTTTCGACGTACATTGACTTAACAGTGGGATAAAAGATATGATCGATAATTGAGATTGACACATATCCATATCTCATAATTGATCGGATCATATTGACGAAAGGATTATAGTTTCACGGTAAACGAACAAGTTTGGTTTTGTCATGCTACGTGATATTTCCCGTCACATGTATTGCCCTGATACATTGCTAGATGTCAATCTGGGACAACGAAAATGAATTAGTGATAAATTAAAAGGGGCGTTTTAATTTATCGATTTTGATTAGATCAAAATAATAATTCACGTCGTTCGGCATCGTGATCGGGAACCTAATGGGTCACACACAAAAGAGAATTAGAAGAATGAGATTTACCAATTAATTAATTGACAAGTGTTGGATAATTAATTAATTGAGTTGTTTATTAATTGGCCCGAATTAATTAATTGGATTAATTAATTCATGGACCAGATTTAATTAATTTGATTAATTAAATATTGGATTGGGTTAAGTTTAACAGATGGGTCGAACACATTTGGACTTATATTAATAGGCTACTAGGGTTTGAAAACAGTATGGAATTTTTTATTATTCTTGCTAGCACAAGAAAAAAAACTCTAGCCGTCATTCCTGTTCTCTGTGTGGATCACCATTGGAGGCTGGACAATTGGATAGCTTGGATTGCAGATCGTGATCATTGGAATTCAAGAAAAAGCAAAAGAGTTTGTGAAATTCATCAAATGTATAATTCTAATCACAGTTTCTATCTAAACACATTGCATATCCTCATTTGGGAATTGAAAATTGTTTTATTTCCGCTGTGCATGATTAAGTAAATTCTCAACACATGATACATTGTTAAGCATCTTAATCGTGTAACAGGGGATGAGTTTGAGATTATATGCTGCATGTTGTGGGCAATTTGGTGTAACCAGAGCATGTTTGTCGTGTATGAGATGGTGATGGTGTTATTGCTTTGGTTACAACTCTTATAGATGGTTTTTTTGACGTGTTTGAGGTTACCAAGACAGCGAAATTGTGGAATCTCGTCCATTAGTAAAATGGATGGCACCCTCAAATGAAAAATTCAAACAAAATACTGATATTGAAGCTGGAAGATATTAGTCAGCTGGAGGATACGAGTCAACTCTAACATTTGCACAATCAGCAAGAAGCAAGCCAGCAAGGACCACTGAGGAGGCAGCAACAGAAGAATTGTCTAGAAGAAGAGTAGTTAGATTGTTATTTTGGTTATTGCGCAGCTTGTTTTCTTTTTGTTTCATAGCAGTAACTTAGTTAAGAAATGATTTTTTCATTGTTGTGTATATATAAGATCACCATTGTATAATTTTTACACGATTGAATGAATAGAATTTATGTTCTTCTCACAATCATCAATATGAGAATTTTACTCTTCCAAATCTAACATGGTATCAGAGCTAGAAATGACTGAATTTTACCTAAGAAAAGGAATGATACACAAAAGAACCTGTGTTGAAACACCGGAACAAAATGCAGTGGTGGAGAGAAAAAATCCACACATCTTGAATGTGGCAAGCCTTGAAATTTCAAAGTGGACTTCATTTAAGATATTGGAATGACTTTGTATTAACAGCCGTGTACCTTATAAACAGGACACCAACTCGCACTTCAGATCGCAAAAGCCCTTTTGAAATATTGTTTCAAGCCAAACCAAACTATAATCACCTAAAAGTGTTTGGATGCCTGACTTTTGCCACCACTCTTGCCAATGGTAGATACAAGTTTGATCTTAGGTCAAGGAAGTGTATTTTCATTAGATATCCTTTTGGGATCAAGGGATATAGATTACTGGATTTGAAAACTAAGAAAATTTTTATTTCAAGAAATGTTATCTTTCATGAGAATATCTTTCCATTCAAAGACCCCAACCATGATAGCAATACCCCTTCAACCGACTTTAATCATCTAAGCTTCACACAAAATCTCAGTGCTTCTAATGACCTTGTCATCTCCTCATTTGATACCGGTCTTGGATATGACACCTCAAACAATTCACCCTATACAGAATCTCCCAACTTCCAAATGAACATCAGCCATGATGTGGCACAACTTTCCACTGATAATTTAGAACCAAACCATTATGCTGTTACCTTTTTCACTGATAATTTGGAACCAAATCATTCTGCTGTTACTCATTTACCTCACAGGTCTAACATAATTCAAAAAACACAACCCCACTTGCAGGACTTTATATGTCAACAGGTCTCTTCACCTCTCCCGTTTCAGAAGCTCAACAACAAAAATGAAGTGAACATTACAGGTAATACCATTCCTCTCGGTGATAGTCTTCTTATGACAAGTTATCCACATCTCACCGTAGTTTTGTTGCTTCAATAACAAATCACTTTAAGCCTAAAAGCTATCAAGAAGCCATAACTTCTCCTGAATGGTGTGCTGCCATGAAGGCTGAAATTGAGGCTCTAGAACTTAATGATACTTAGGTTTTGACCAATCTACCATCTGATAAAGAAGTCCTAGGATGCAAGTGGGTGTACAAAGTCAAATATAATGCCAATAGCAGTGTTGAAAGATTCAAGGCACGCCTAGTAAGAAAAGGATACACTCAACAAGAGGGACTTGATTATCATGAAACTTTCTCCACTGTGGCCAAACTAATCACCATTAGGACTTTGATGGCAGTAGCAGCAATTAAAGGATGGAGCCTGTACCAATTTGATGTAAATAACGCCTTCTTGCATGGTGACTTAAAATGAAGATGTCTACATGGAGCTGCCTCCTGGTAACTCCAATGTTAGTGGCAATAAAGTCTACCAACTACGCAAGAGCCTGTATGGATTGAAGCAAGCTTCGCGCCAATGGTACTCCAAACTTTCCAACTTTGTCATTGAGTAGGGATACAATCAATCAAAGGCAGATTATAGTCTATTTACTAAATCAACTGGTAGTTCCTTCACAGCCATTCTAGTACATGTAAACGATATAATAATGGCTGGAAATTGTGTTGATACTATCAACAAGCTCAAAGTCTCTCTTAATGACAATTTCAAAATCAAAGACCTAGGGAAGTTGATATATTTTATATGCATTGAAGTAGCAAGGTCTAAATAAGGGATTTACATATGCCAAAGAAAGTATGCTATAGATATCTGGCAGATTCAGGCACCATCGGTTCAGGCCTTGCTAGGATTCCTCTTGATCAGAATGTAAAACTTAGCAAAGATGAGGAAGGGTTGATGTCAAATCTATCTCTTTACAGAAGACTGATATGAAGACTTCTATATTTGACAATCACCAGACCTGATCTTGCATATTCAGTCCAATTGTTAAGCCAATATATGGGAAACCCTAGGATATCACACCTGCATGTTGTTCATAAAGTGCTGCAATACATCAAAAAAGCACCTGGACAGGGGCTATTCTATTCTACAAAGTAAGGGCTTCAGCTGGAAGGTTACTACGATTCAAATTTGGGGGGCATGCCTAGATAACAGGAGATCAGTAACATGTTACTGTGTATTCATTGGGACAACATTAATATCATGGAAGTCGAAAAAACAACATGTGGTGTCCCGATCCTTTGCTAAGGCAGAATATAGAGCAATGACAAATCTTTGTTGTGAACTAACTTGGCTCAGATATTTGCTTAAGGATTTACAGATTGAGCATCCTCAAGCAGCAATCCTAAATTGCGATAATAAGGCTGCCATTCACATAGCCACAAACTCGATGCTTCATGAAAGGATCAAGCACATTGAGCTTGACTACCATCTGGTTCGAGAAAAAATATAAGACGAAAGCATTATCACTCAACCGTTCCCAGTGCATCACAGATTGCAGAAATTTTAACCAAGGCTTTAAATTCCCAAAGTTTTCATTCTCACTTATCCAAGATGGGAGTAATGGACATTTACTCTGCATCTTGCGGGAGGGCTATTGAAGCTGGAAGATATGAGTCAGCTGGAGGTTACGAGTCAACTCCAGCATCTGCACAATCAGCAAGAAGCAAGCCAGCAAGGGCCACTGACGAGGCAGCAATAGAAGAATTGTCTAGAAGAAGAGTTTAGATTGTTATTTTGGTTATTGTACAGCTTGTTTTCTTTCCGTTTCATAGCAGTAAATTAGTTAGGAAATGATTCTTTCATTGTTGTATATATATATGATCACCATTGTATATTTTTTTACACAATTGAATGAATAGAATTTCTGTTCTTCTGACAAATCATCAATATGAAAATTTTACTCTTCCAAATCTAACAACTGATGCCGATGTTTGGATGACCAAGAATGTAAGCAACCATTTGGGTGGTCACTGCACCTTTGCCAAGAAAACTTTTTGTTGTTTCAAACCAGAGACTGCTGAGGTAATTGCACTCTAGGAGGGAACACACTTGGCACGACGTCACACTTACAAGATTGTGGTAGTCGAATGCAATGCTCTTGGAGCATGCAAGGACTGAAAGTGGAATATTTGAATGCAAGTAAATACTATTCGAAGTTGGTTGTGGTACTTTTTACTTTTAAGTTCATGATTCACAAACTGAATTCATTAGCTTCTTGGTTGATTCTTGTCGGAGTAATTGTATTATGATATTATTTGCAGATGTCAATCTTAATGAGAGCCTATGATTGGTTTCCAAGAAAATTGAAAAAAAAAGGGAGTGAATTGTGAGAATTCATAACTGTTTGCACCAAATGCTAATAAGCGATTTCAGTTGAGGCCATGTAATTTTTGAACTCACGATCCATCAGTCAGTCGAAGTAATGGGCGACTTTTCAATAGAGAAGATCCTAATATCGGGCGCCACTTTAGCCTCCCTTCTCCACCGCTCATCTGCCTCCTCCGGCGACCTTCACGGCTTCCTCTTTGGCCATGTTGTCTTCTCCGACTCCATTCCCCTCTCTGACGACGACACCACCAGCAGCAGCCCATCTCTCACCGCCACCATCACCTCTTTCATCTCCCTCCCCTCCCACCTCCCCCTACCGCCGCCGATCACTCTATCCTTCTCTTCCACCCTTCTCGGCTGGTTCTCCGCTCGCCGCAAAACCCCTCTCCGTCCCTCACTCAAAGACTCCTTAACCACTCTTTCTCTCTCCTCTTCCTGTTCTCTCGCCTTCACTCCACACAATTCCACTGCTTTACACCCGCCATCTCTGTTTCTCCTCTTAACCACACCGCTTCAAGATAAGTTAATCCACACCCATGAGTATAAGACCTATGAGTACTGCATTCCCAGCAAAAGCTTTGAGCCCAAGAGCTTGAGTATTATTAACATTGGTCCATTTTTTCGATCCCATTACGATTCTTTCAGCCCCAATGCTCCTTTCCCTTTGATCAACTGCGACTTGAGAGGCTCTAATGCAATGGTGGAGGATGAAGAAGGTGAGACTTTGGAGGCCATAAGGAGGGCTTTGAAAAATCAGAAGAAGTTGGATATGTGTGCAGAGGGGTTTGAAATTAGGAGGATGAGTAAACTAGTGGGCTCTGAGGCCGCTATTTACATGGGTGAGTTGGAGGATTTGTATGATAAAATGCTTTGCAAGATTGATGCACTGTCGAAATTGGTGGAGCAGACCTCTGTTAAGGTTGTTGGTCAGGTAAGAATGAGAAGAAAGGTTGAATCTTGGAACAAAGATTCAATCTTTAGATTGAAACTGGATGCAGTTTCATTATTTAAGCATTGGATGAATTGTTTTCATGTTTGAATTTGGTTAAACATTTTTTGGCAGGAGAATCAAAATATGAAATTGAGGTACAAGGTTGCTGGCATGGAATAATTTGCTGATGATTGCGGGTTTTTTTTCCCGATTTTTGAGGTAGTTTGTTGCTCATATTTTGTGAGTTACTTTATTCTTTTTGTAGATATTGGTTGCTAACAAACATTGTTTTGGTAATGGCATTATGTTTGCCTTCCATTATACAATACAGTCCATACCTCTCTAGTACTTCACTAGATGCAGTTAATATCCTTCAAGGAAAACTTAACTCTCTTTTGTTATGCATGTCATTTAAATTGTACATGAACCTTCTTAAAATTGGTAACATGACGAAGAACCCTCACTTGTTTAGACCGTACCCTATTGCAATCTTGGCATTCATACTTTCATTAACTGGACATGAGGTTTTAATCTTCCATCCACCCACACTGTTACATGAAATGAGAAAAAACTCTCTATTTTCACGATGGTTGAGGAAACTAGTTCCATCCTCTTCGCCATCAGCTGCCCTCTCCGAACAATGCCATACACCCCATCACTGCCTCACTCTTAACACAATTGCCACTGACACTACAGGATTATCATCTACACAACCCATAGTTTCCACCACTGGCCAATCGCTACCACTGCCTCTACATCTCATGACCCAACCGTCTAAAATAGAATAAGACGCCAGAGTTGAAACAGTGAAAATCAATAGGAGGTACTTGGTAGGTAGGCCTAACATCCAAGCAACCCGTCCCCTCTTAATCTTACAATCCCTGCTTTGTTATGATTCGCATCCATCTTGTGTATCAAAGTATGTTTTTCTTCCCACCTTTGATTTAGTGAAGCAAAGATTTTATTTCCGAACCAGAGTCATCATTTTTTCATGAACAGAAATTGCAGCATCCTTTAATGTATGGAACAAACTAGGTAATCAAGTTCCGATATCTGAATGCAACAAGAAGCTGTGTTTCCAATAAACTTGAGTTCAACTCCATAAATCTTTTTTCTTCGCCCTATTTGATTCAGAGATGCCCCTTCAAAAGGTTCCAGAAATTAGATATTTTGCAACTACAAAAGAAAAATGGACTGATGGGCCTATCACCGAATTATTTGATATTGCAAAGAAGGCTAAAAAAAAGAATTACTGATAAAATGAAACTTGGCTGACCAAAATTGAAGGTCAGACCCTTTATCACGGGCTTCTCACATTATGTCTGGTTGACATAACTTAACTCTACATTGCAATGATGGTGGTAGGTTCTAGTGGCGACTTGGTGACTGTGCCTTGGCTTTTTAGTGGATGGAAGGTTTCAAAGGATGAGAATAGATCTTTCCTACTTTGATTTTTGTGTATTTGATTTTTATAAGAAATCTTGATTCAAATGCTGGGGGTTGTTTAGGACTTTGCGTAATTTTATATAGATTAATGGTGCTAGCATGAATTGATGAGTGCTGGCATCAATCCAACTTCTTAAAACACAAGGACTATTTGGCCTGATCTAAAGTAGCGGTTCTCTTTTACTACATGTTCGAAACAATTTGGGGGGTTTGGCCTTTAGCGCTAGTTGGGTACTTTCTCCATGCTGGGAACATTTAATAAACGTTGTATTGTTGGCTATCATAGCTCTGTTGTCTTCTAAGCTGGATGCTGATGGTATTTTCATTGAGGAGATCTAAGGAGTAGACTAGTAGAGAATGTACAATTCTATCAATTCTAGTGAAAATTCTGGCATGGAAACACTGTGGCATATTTATTTTGAGGAGATCTAAGGATTAGACTAGTAGAGAATGTACTAATCTGTCAATTTCTAGTGAATATTTTGGCCTGGAAACATTGTGGCATATAATATAGAAGAGGGCTACACTTACAGTGTTTAGAGGGCTGTAAATTTTACATTGTGGCGCGTGCACTGCATGCCGATACCATTGACATTCATGGACAACAAAATTTGGGAGAAGACATGTTTATGAGCTTAATCTATCTTCATTTTCAAGCTTAACATATCTTTAGTTAATTTTAGGTTACCAACCAGTAGAATCAAGTTTCCTTGTCTATTAGAAAAAGGTTGGCTGGATATTTCTCGTTTTTTATTTTTGATCTTTGACTTTCATCACTTCCTAAAGTATTCTCCATCGTGGCATGGCTTTATTTTTTAGTTCAATTTTCTCTTATACCTAGATTCAGCGTATGCCAGCCCCCATATTCTCCCTCTCTTATTTGCAGTTCTGCTAGCTGTACTCCTTTAAAATATTTGCTCTCTGGAACATACTGATCTGTAGAATGATTTATTCTACTAATGTTATGTTTTAAGTTCTGTTTTGTGACAGAATTTTATTGTGGGATAAATGCATCACCTTAGTAGTGTCATTTACAATGGTTTGCTATCTTTTCCCCGCATTCTTCCTATTGATGGGTTAAGATTTTTGAGCAATATATGGGATGCTAAAACAGAAACATTTAACTAGAAAACTTTTGAGTTTTCAGTAATTCACATGGACTACAGAACCTTTTATAATAACTAAAACAACGCGACTTATTGCGCTTTATATATTGTGACTAGTTTTTGACTAAGAAATCCCAATGTAAACTACAGTGTGTTGATTAATCAGTTAGTAAGCCAAAAACATTTTCAAGTACAAAAGTATATAGTGAACCTACTACAATCATGAGTCAGAGAAATATTGGAAACTCCTTATTCATTTTGCATGCTTGCTTTCTCTCTCCTCTTTTACCCCTTGTCATGGATAACATACATTAGCATATCCATGCATAGAAAAAAAAAATTAAATTAATTAAATTAAATTTGTTATTGGACTTTGGGCTTGGATGTCCAATTTTTCTTAATAACTTATATAGTATTTTCAGTTTTTCACATTACTTCAAACCTGTAATCAGTTGCAATCAAGAGTAGGAAGAACAAGAAGTCTCACTCTGTATCTTTCTGTGCAACCATGGGAAGTAGTCAAATGTAATAATTATTTTCCATCTAACTAGCCCAACTCTTCCCATCCTCACCAAACTCGTTGTGTATGTTGTGGACCGGATTTAAAAATATTTTCTATCTAACTGCTCACTGCTGTCAAATAGTTTGGTTAGGAATGAATACTTAACCTTCTCCGTCAACTAAATTTCATCACTTATCTGTGAATGTGCATGAAGAAAAAAATCGGAAAAATGATTTGACAGAGGAGTGCAGTCTTGATTGAGGCATGTGATGATGGATCTTGAACCAGGCTCTTTGAGAGGTTGAATGTTACGTCTACTTTTATTTGAGAGGTGTTGTTCTTTTGTTTGAAAACAATACACCTCTTTGATAGATTCTATTGAACACTGAGTTCCCTGTAGGCTAGGCTATAGCCGTATCCCTTCTTTGACATTTTGGATGGTGATAATTGTATTCATTACGAGTTTCTACTCGGCTGCTGAGCTATGTTTATTTTTTTTAGTATATTTCTCCAATCTTATTCGACCAGTATCGTGAGTTTATTGTTGCTGACCAACATACATATGCATCCGAGGGGGACTCACTCCGTTGAACTTAGGTTTTCATTTGTTTTGTTTATGTAGAGAAAAAGGATGTAACTTGTGTCATTTATGGCCACGATTTTCATTTTACGTATAGTTTCTGTTACTGTGTAGATCCTGGAAGCGTTAAAGGTGCGTGAACTCAATGACGAGATAAAGAGAGAGAGACTGTTTTTGCTGCTTGCTGGGATTTAGATGATTTTGCGACGAAGGACTCTCCTTGGACCTCAACGATGTAGACTGCCAGTATTGTAATTTATTTGTACTGGCCTTGTTCTCTTGTGTATATATTACTTTGAAGAATCTCGTCTTCTGGGACCAAAGTGAAAGAAATTGAAAAATGTGTTATGGTCTTATTTTCTTCTTTGTATACTCTGGTTGTTTGATCAGCATTCGGTCGATGCTTCATTCACCTTGATCGCCTTATTTTTGGTATAGTACTTACCAAGGTGGATGATATGACTCGGAAGAATGCCTATGCTGTGCAAGGACCGGACCAAACCTTACGAAGCAGCACGACGTTTGACCTTTGGAAAACTATGATGTATGCATGAGCACGAATTGGAGGATTGCAACATTTAAAAAATGCCCTACTGGAACACTTCGCTATTTTACGACAAGAGAAGAGATTCTGCATTTTCAAAAGTAAATCGACAGACAGAGCGCCATTACTTGCTCAATCTGCAATTGCAGATCACTTGTCATCATTTCGAAATTACGAATATGATAAAATCGAATGTTAACATTTCACACAAAGAAGCCAACTAACTACATCACAGTGGCAAGTTAAAAAGAGTGATGTCACATATACATCCTACTTTACCACTTGGTTTATATTTTTTATACTTGGTAAGATCTCAAATCATCTTTGACAAAAACAACTTTAAACCAACCATTAAAAAATTGCCACCTACTCAGGGTGTAAAGCAAGGTTTAAAGTAGAATGTACTAGTAGTTTAATTCAGTTAGTATGCCATGAGTATTATTTTTACAACATGACTTATTGCGATTTATATATTGTGACTAAGAAATCCCATATGTGTGTTGATTAATCAGTTAGTAAGCCAAAAACATTTTCAAGTACAAAAATATACAAAAGTACGTAGTGAACCTACTACGATCATGAGTCAGAGAAATATTGGAAACTCCTTATTCATTTTTCTTGCTTGCTTTCTCTCTCCTCTTTTACCCCTTGAAAAGGGCATGAACATACAAATTCGCAATGAATTGAGATTTGCTGTCCATCCAATTAATTATTAACACCTCATTTTTAAATTAACATATTATCTCAAATTTACCCTCATTAACTTCACCACTAACCTACCAAATTGACGATATGTTAACTTAAAATAACGTGTAGATAATTAATTGAGTGAACAACGAAATTAGAAAGTAAAATTTGAACAGCAAATCTCAACTACTTTTCAATACTGCCATAAATGAAACCTTGCAACTTATCATGCACATGCAACTTTTCGAGGGTGTTTGATTCCCATTTTTTTCAAAACTATATTTTTCTCTCTTCTTTTCAACCACACATTTTTTA